AAAAAAAAAACCCAATTAGATGAACTTTAGACCAAGAACTTGCTTAAAGTTAAAACAGATCAAAGGTTAGGAACGGCCTACTATTAAGCCTAAACCTTTGATCGAATTTTTTTCTAAAATAACTCAAGGCTGATCTTTTACATTGTTTTGTGTCCTGTGCGCTCTGGCTGCTTTCGATTTCCTGATAACACCTGGAAGAATATCAACTGGAATCCGGCTCACTGTACACGAAACCTCATAAGCAAAGAATAATAAAACAGACGTGATACAAAACCAGAGATCGAGGCGGTTCATATGAGCTACACGGCATAACTTTAATTTGTACAATGTACATGCCACAAATTTGATGGTTCGGGAGTCATTGTCTTATCGTGAAAGTAAATGCTAGTAGTTCGACATTTTGTAATTAAGCTTAGAATACGTAAATTTAAGTCCAAAACATTCCAACGAAAAAACAACGGTGCCAATTTCTTATCCTGTTTAAAACAATGTCAACATCTACATTCAGTGGATCTATAAGGCTTCCGCTAATACGACATGTAAAATGATGGGGGAGATGACAATCCAAGGTCACGAAATTTTCACGCACTTTTCACCGAAGCCCACGCACTTGACAAACAGCTTACTTTTATAGCCACAAGAATCAACTTTTAAGCTTATATTGCACAAAACTTATGTCGCTCCCAGATCAAGCTTAAAGGAAAAAATGAATACAAGAAAACATACTAAGTACCGGACGAAATGAGCATTGTTGCAACACAACATGATGTCACCCGGCCTTGTTGAAAATCTGCATACAAGCACACACGTTCAATGAATTTCTAACATGCTTGTTTAGCTGTCTTCTTCGACATTTTTAAGCTTATATTAAGCCATCCTTTAATATAACCCGTCAGAGAAACCACTTTACTTTGTCTCCCGCTTCAGTGCAAGAAATGAAAGCAAAATAACAGTATACACGGTGGAGCTAAACTTACCGTAAGGTTCCTTGTTCAGAACTGTACTAATGAACGAGTTTGCGAAATCGTACCAAGGTTGAAGGCCTTTCGCGTCGTACTCCGTTTTCAGAGTAGATCCTTCAGAGGATTCTGTGTCGAAATTATCATGCCAGATGATTGTGGTACCGTTGAGCTCCGGTCCTTTACGTTCCTCACAGCTTGCAAGGCTCACGAAGCATATCAAAACAAAAACAAGGAACGAAGATGTCGACATTTTGAAAGCACCTTCCCAAATAACGATGTTGACTTTGGGGCGCAAATAATTCCTTCAAGGCTCGTAAGACCCTCTTTACCACAGCTCTTGTATCCTGTAACACAACTTGAGAAAGCCCAGACGAAATCTTCGGGCACAAAGACCTTCGTGATACTTCGTTTGACTTGGAAGTGAGGCGTCGATTCCTTGGATTATGGAAGCAGCACGTCTCATCAAATGCCTTCGCCAAAGATAGAGTTATTCATGCGTATCTTCTTCACTCTGCAAGGCAAACGTTTAACTTATTTCCTGTTAAGCCGAAGGCAAGGAATATTCTTAACAGTAAATTTGCGAAAAAGATATATTTACACTTGCTTCTCGTTTCCTCGCCGCGAGATCGCCAAAATATCATGATGGCATTCAAATTCTCAATAACGCACAGGTCGGGTTACGTCACGGCCGTTACGTCACTTTTTATATCATGCCTGATAATAGCTCGCTGTTGTTGTCACTGGAAACGCTCGCCTCCAACAAACAAAATATTGACACCATGAGATATCGATTAGCCGTGGCTCTCAATAGGAAATTTTTTCGTTATATCCGGCTAAAATCATAGCTATTGATGTATACGCATGCATGCGTACTGGAAATGTTTCAACCTTGGCGTAGCGCGGGGCTAGTTCTAGCGACAAGGAATTCAAAGCCAAAACAAAACTAATAAAATGGAAAAAAGATAGAGGAAAATAGTGCGCTAACCGGCTTGTTTAATCCCGGAACACAAGATCAAAGATAAGCACATTGTAAAACAATCATTATAGACTCTCAAATAGTTAACGATGGACTGTGACGGTGATCACCTACCTACTTACAGCCGAAAGATGGGCTAAAATTTGAACTGGTAGCTTAGAAATGTATGGCAAAAATTTCACTGCTGGATGAGTAAGGCAGCCCATCCAGAAAGTAAACAAAATTTAAAGAGGCGATATTTATTACGTGGATATTTTTATTTATTCTATCGGGTCTTAAGAGGGACGTGATCTTCTATGGCTTCACTCCTTTCGAACTCTTATGATTAGTCGTTATAGACTAACCCAGAAGAGATCAGCTGTGAAGGTTATACTACAATCTACGCGGAACTTTTCCCTCCTCTTGTGTGTTGATAAATAGATCCTTTTGACGTCCTGGCAGCTGACATAACAACATAATTACACAGAATTACGCAAAAAGGAGCAATAATTTTTTTGGCGTCAAAAAGCGAACGGATGGTAGCTTGATCCAAGTGCTTTTTTCATGCTCTGTTAGTCGTCCCCCATCTCAACATTCTTAAGATGCGTTTGTCAAATTACCCTAAAATATCGGGGATAAAACTGACCTCAACCCTTTATCAAGTTACCAGAAGATAACATTTGCACTTTTCTTAGACTACGTCTTGTCGGCTCCAGATCACGGGTTTCATGATGACGAAGTAACAGAGTGAAAGAGAGGCGATGTGAGGTGAAACGATGAAATGTTTCGACCGCTTTATGCGCTCTGCATACCTTCCCAACTAGCACCCTCGTCACTTATGATTTTGCAGAGAAAACGGTCGGATAATCTTTTTTAGGGTATATTTGAGTTTTGGCGTGCAAAGACGGGATGTCAGCGGAAGGATAAGGAGTGATAATTTGCAATTTCCGTCGACTTCCGATCAAAATCATAGATGCTTAATATTAATTCTAAATCTACAGCTATGCAATGGGCGAGACAATCAGGGTTGAAAATGTCATCTTAACATCCGACTCAGATGATAGACCATGTAAGGGACGTCTTAGACGTATGACATACCTGAATATTGCAATATAGCTACTCTCGTCTCGGTGAACAATGCACAGAAGGTTACAAATATTTCTTGAATACTAGGTTCTGCTTGAAATAACTTTGACTGCATACCCACGGGGCTACTTTTCCCAGTCCCACACTGTTGTCACTATTTGTTCGTGAAACGCCGGCTCAATGTATATGCTCTACTTACGTGTTGTTAAGAGCTATTAGTGACCGCAGCCAATAACAGTGAGGTTAGTGAACCCGCAAAAGCACAGTATGTCCAAAAATACCTGACGAATTTCATGAATATTTAATAACAAGCCTCTGTTTCCACATGACCAAATAATGGAGCGCGCTAACGAAAAAGTTTATAGAACAGGAGGCAATACTATTGAAACGGGTCAACATTTTGAAACAACTGAAATGTTTTTCTGGATTGCAAAAATTTTGTCACGTCATGTTCTATAACCGGGGACTTGTTACATGATCTATTGAAGCAAAGAGTTCTTTTGTCCAAAAGTTGATACACAGCATACCAAAATAAATGATTTGACTTTATTGTTTGCAAAAACATTTATTTTCCGATTTCGACGTCTCTCTGTCCGACACCATCATTTGCTGAGCTATTTCTACCGTTATTGGCTCAAAATAACCATGCACAGGCAGACCAAACGCACGTTTTGAGAATTTGAGTAAAAGAACAGGAAAAGAAAATATTGCCTAAAACAACGCTACAAGACTCCAAACAGACAACAGGACACAGAGAATCGCAAACTGAAGGAAGTTGTGGGAACTAAGCTCATTTACTCAATTACAAGCTAAATTACGGCCAAATCATTAATCTAACAACTGCTCACAAACCCTCATAACAACTCAACAACTCGGTTAGCTATAGTATTGCGCAACTTTTCAGCTCATGACGTACATATTTGGGCTGCTTCTGAAAGAACCAATCAGATTTGGGTACGTCACTTTTCCCGCGTTTTTTTCCATGTCAACATAGTTGTCAGCACGTCAGTTTTGCTTCAAACTGTGATTGGTTAAAGTGATTATAACGCTAGCGCTATTTCGGTTGTGTTAATAATAGTCTCATGCACTTTTTGATTTGAGCTAAATGAACAAGACAAATTACCATGTCGAATCGTATCGTAGTTGTCAAAACAAAAGCAACCGTACGCGTGTTCTACAGTGTGTTCTAATTTGAGCGGGAAAGTTCGCATACGTACATAACGGTCTCTCACGAATATGATACCATATTAGGGCATGTATCGTGACGTGTTTACACTTACATGTAACCGGATGGTAATGACAGAGCCTGGATGAAAGGCTACACGCCAACAAACTTTACAAACATTCACACGGCGACTTCCGCTTTACGGTCACGGAGTTTTAAACAAGGTTTGATAGAACAAAATGTTACCGATGAAAACTGCGTTAAATCTACAGCGAAGAATAAATCAAAGTCGAACTCCTTCTACAGATTTCAAACATGTACGTTGTTAAACGCAGTTTTCGCAAGATCAAGTTTTGACGTCTTTCAGAAAACCGAAGTCTATAGATATAAAGACAGTGGCTTATCTTTTAGAGATCTATGAGGAGTCACTTGCTTTTCATTTATAACAGACTGTTTCACTGTCTCGTAGAGTGAACGCTAAAAATTCTCGTTCGTTTTGTTACCTGTTGACTAAACAATGTTAATAACATGTTTGACCTACCTTGTCGACTTTTACTTGTTTGCAAATCGGTGAAAGGAGCCGACAACTACGATCAGTTATCGTTCATCTGAAAGAATTCCTAAGGAACTACAAAACAAACTTTATAATGCTTGACTGAATAAATCGCAGCTCATTACAAAACCGAAGGAAGTGCGTGCAAACAGGTGACGTCAACATCTTGACGCTCGTTACTGACAAAAAGTAAAGTCGGTTTTGTTTAGTTTTGTTTAGTTTTGCATAAACCAGATAATAACACGAAAATACACGAATAAAAACTTACGACCATTCATTTTCGAGGTCGGTCACGTACTGAATTGTTTTCAAAGTAACGGTTCTTGCCATTAGCGTACCAATATGTTGCTTTCCGCACGCAAGACATTATTTTCTCATATTCACACGTATATCATCGTGTTTTCTCAAAGCAATGTCAATGCCTAAGGGGGGAGGGGGAGGGGAGGGTTGCGAGCGGAGGGGTGGAGAGCAGATTCAAGGAAAAGGAAATGGTCGTCTGGCTTTCCGTTCCAACCCAATCCTCTGCTTAATTTAACTATTTTGTAACGAGCACATTATTAAACAAAAGTGCAACGCCATATTGAAAGAGGATTATAGACCTAATATTGCCAAATTTGTCCCTAAGTCTAGATGGGCATAGTCCTTATACCTCTCTGTATTTTTGTCATGTCATTATTTATAGAGTGTATTTTTGTATTAGTTAACTCATGTGTTAACTTGAGTTCGATTTGTTTATAACTTTGTAAATTCTGAAAATTACTGGTAAAGCCTAGTTTTTACAGTGTCTCCATTAAACACAGCAGTGTCAAATATATATTGTTATTTAACTTAAGTCTTTCTTTCTCTACATTGATGTGGTATGTAAAGACTCGAGTATAAAATACAATCATTGTTTCCTTAGGCTTTTCAGATTAGAGACGTACAAATAAAAATTCGACCATCAGTGAAATTTCGGCGGTTTCTGAGCTTTGAAAAAGTTACAGATTTTGTATGGCCAAGATCAGTGCAGGTTAAGTATAAAACCTCTCCAAAAAGCGTAACATGAGCTCGTGAAATTTTGCAGGTAGCCTTTGAGAAATTTACTCGAAATCACACTATCCTCGAAGTCACGTGACTTATCTATACTACTAAGCTATAAGTAAATTTTGCTGCTTCCAGATTTCAGCTATTCTGTGATCTGTATTGGTTTAATTAACCAATTTTACTAAAATGCAAAAACGTTCCTTGTTCCACTTTTAATATACTGGTCTTTTAGTGCAGCAGTTTTCTTCCTTGCACATTTAAATAGTTACTTTTCGGATTTCCCTGGTTTCCAGTTACGTAATAAATGGCCAAAAATATCGACCAGGCATTCTCGCCAAGTATGCCTTGGTATGTTTTCTTCAATTTCAAGACATTTTTCATTGGCCCCATCCTTCGTAAACGCAGTCAGAAGTCACAGATTTTTCCTTGAAAAGCTGGCGAGCCAGTGTTTGAACAAGAAAACTTGTGAAAGAAGAAAATATTGGACAGGTCACGGCAAAATAGGCCTTTCCACAAAGATCTGGATATTTTTTTAAGGATATTTAGAAGTTTCTGAGATATTTAGAAAATTTAGAGATATTTATAAATATTCGTAGCTTTTATGGCGAAGCCCTGTGTTGTCCTGGCTATTTTCTTGAAACAATACTCAGTTCTATGCTAGAAACAGTCAAGTTCGACGATCTTCCACACAAAAAATGTATACAATATCACTAAAAGCACCAAAACAACAATTTTTCCAAAATGGCGGATGCTGGTAACATCGAAGCACCTGAACTTCTTGCGCTACTCCTTTACTGCAAGAACATTTTGAAAATTTTGGCCTAAGTGATTCAAAATTGGTTCATTTTTAAAACAAAAATAAGAGATGTTTAGAGAATTTTTCGAGATGTTTAGAAAACATTTTGCGATATTTAGAAATTTTTTTGTGAAATTTCCGGAATTAATTGAATATATTTATTTTAAGCGATTTTACGTGATATTTGTGGAAATGCCCACGGCAAAACGAAAATGAAAGAGATGCAAATTTAGCTGACCACGGACACGGAAAGCTTTCCGCCACGCTCAAATTAAAATTCGGCAGCCAAGCTTCATACTAAGTTTGTTAAAGACGAGTAAATAAACTTATCAAATTCAATGTGCATACGCGCACTTTGGGATTAATTGAAACACTCCTAAAATCCTTAGAAAAAAGACTAATGCAAAATGTACGAATGGTAGTTTATATGGGCAATTTTGTTTGCAGGTTTGGTCGTCGGATAATCAACCATATGAGAGAGTTTAACGTGGTCGGTCCGGGAACAAAATAGCAAGTGTTAATTTTCTGTTTCATTTAAACAGCACGCATTTTGGTTCTTGAACGAGAAAATGTGAC